TAGGAAGAGTATGTATGGACATTCGACAACAGGGATTAGATACATGCTTGGTTGTTTAAATTGTTCTTCTATGCTTAATGGGTTCCTAATGCTTAATTTTAGGTTAGACAACAAATGATCAAATTAGGGAATTAGGAACACAAGGTTATGACCACACACCATGGCTTAATCATACTTTAGCTAGAATCAACCCATTAATCTAATTGAACTTGGGAACTTATTTGCTTGAGGTATTTCCTTTTTCTTGTTTTATTTATTTTCTTTTTTCATTTCTGTTTTGTGTAGGAGAAATGAATTGGATCATTCAATCACCAATCCTCGTGGGATCGACCTCGCACTTACATATGCTATACTACCAAACGGCTCGTGCACTTGCGAGTATCACAAGTTGAGGATGCAACTGAATCCATTTTGGTGAAGCTGTATCTACACAACACAATACAAGCATATATTCTCCCAAACACTCTTGTACGTTCTTATCGTTCTTGCTCTTGCTTTTGTATTCTTGCTTGGTTCGATCTTATTTTGTAGGAAGGAGGCTGACTTAGCTTGTTCGAGAGGCGATCAAGCCTAAAGCCCCACGGAAGGAAGACTCTGAAAAAGTCATCCTGTGACATTAGGCTCAAATGGCTATCGGTGTTTGATGCGCATTACTCAAATCAAACCAGTCATGTTAAATATGGGTTCAGACTCATAAAGATGATATTGTGCCTGTTTTATTAATCCCAACAAGGAGATGACATTCCTCTTGCCACGAATTTCAAAGTGAAAATTAATCAACTAGAATATCAACCTGTAATGAAAAATAATTTATAATGAATATATCAGGTTTTACGTTACATCTCCATTCACTCGTCTCTACAAAAGGAGGGAAAAAAGGTAAGGAAACAAAAATTTGTGATCCAATACTCATGTTCATTGTTCATAAATATAGAGATGAGTACATGCTTCTTTAACATAAACAGCAAAATTGATGAAAATATTTTCTTATTTAGGAGGAGGAAATCTAACAACTAGACCAATCAACCACATTAGAATTGACCCCAAAATCCAAAATAAGAGAAAAAATACAACAAATCCAGTCACAATGGTAAGCAAAGGAGGGCCTTGTGCAGCATAATTGGTTTTAACCCCACCTGATTTATCTTCAACGGAATCTCCACTTGAAGGGTTAGAGTTTGATGCAGACACAGCGTGCCAGCTTTCCCTTATTTTCAATCTCAAAACATTCCTCTCCAACCTGATTAAAAGAAAGAAACTAAATTTAGGATATTTCACATCATCTTGACATTAACTTAACTTGCAGTAAAGCAAGCATTATTTTCTACTTGTTCAGCCAACTAATCAAGAAAACAAGTAACGGAAGTACACAGAATGAAGTTCCCACAAAGATTCTCATATCTATTGTTCAGATAGGAACCATGACAAATAATGCTAGTTGTCGACGGAGTATAGGCTTAGAACTTGCAATAATGACCGGAAAAGTTAGGAAACATTTTCCTTCAACCTTGAAGGGCCTTAACCATATTGATATATTAATTTAGCGATTGTTCATTAATAAGATCAAAACAGTCCATCCGCATTGGATGTGACCCTCCAAATACATAACTAAGAAAATGACTAATCCATATTCGTAGAAATACACTCTAGTAGAGTCTAGACATGGGCTTAGGGATATATGAGAATTCGAAGCTTAATATGGGTAAGGTGCTAGCTTAGTTAACTAAAACATGAACGTTTACAATCAGAGCCGGTCCATTGATTTTGGGGGCCCTGTGCAAATATGGATGTCGAGGCCCTACATATATACAAGTAGGAAAAAAAAATCCATATAGAAACAAAATTTTCTGACACGGGAGGAACACCTTCGGGAGATTTCAGC